CTAGCAAATATTGTGGGTGTACCCGTTATCTGATATTTTTACTATATTTTCTTTATTAAAACAATATTTGTTGGCATCGCTACGCTCGTCTACTTTGTATCTTGACCCTAAAGTGTGTTTTTTATTTTACCACCTCCGCAAAACCCCAAGTTGCAACTTGCAACGCTCGGCGGAATTATACTAGCACAAGTTGCATAATTATATTATTGACCGCTCGTTAACGTTATAGATGATCTGAAAATTAATACTTTTTATTGTAACCTTCCTAACCGCCCGGGCGATATTAATCATATCTTTCGGCTGACAATCCATTCAATTATTTTGGCATTATATATATTGTTGAAACTGTTTAATTATCTTGTATGTACAACATAATATCTCATTGTGGTACTTATAGCTTACCATCGTGTACGTACAAGAAAGTATCTTCACACAGCATACTATTGTGTACGTAGTAATAAGTTGTACTTACCAGAATGAGTTGATATGCTGTACTTACAAGTATGATAATTTTAAATTAAATTTAAAGGTGACGCGTATGTGCCTCCTAAGTTGTACCATTTTAACCAGATAGCTTAGCAAATGTACCACCGTTGGTAATATGCACGCCCTTACATGAGTTAATCAGCGTGGACATTTCAGATATATCATTGTCTACACTAGTGAATTAGTCAACAATTATAAAACGCGAGACTATATCAGGGGCGGGTCCAGGTGAGGGCGTAATGGGCGTACGCCCCCTTTTCAAAACAAAAAAGGATTTTTTTTTATCGTAATCTGCTAATATTGTATTGAATATGGCAATTTATCATATTCATTAATTAAAGACATACTCTGATAAAAAAAAAAATGTCAAACCATGACACTATGAAATATACATGCTCCAAGTCAGGAAACGTTACATTAGTGCATTTCACAATTATTTTATGTTTTTTAGCAAAAAAAAGTCCAAAACTTAATGAACAAGTCCCCTGTGGATTCATACATTTGTCATCACCAGGTTGCCCCTATAATAATACCATCTGACTTCTAAAACACGCTGTTGATAGAGAATTTGAACCGAAACTTAAATTTTCTTTCCAGTACACAAAAAAAGTCTTTGGGCCATACTTCAAATATGTTTTTTTCTTCTTGTTAGTTAAATATAAAAACAATCCTAAGAACACGGGAAATCGCTTCTGAGACGTTCTAGAAAACACATTTTTTGGTGGGGAGATCCCCCAAACCCCCCTTACGGGGAGGGGTGTGTACCCTCCCCCTCCTCGCGCTACGCGCTCGGGCTGCTGCCTTTCGCAGCACACCGTTGACTATTGAGAAAAAATTTCGGCCCCCACTTTTAGGAAATCCTGGATCCGCCCCTGTTCTAAAACGCAGACGTGAAGAGGTGAGTTTTGATGTCCCTCTTGAACTTGGCCAGGGTATTTGACTTTCTAATAGCAGATGGTAAGCTATTCCACAACGTAGCCGAAACCCTCCCAAAGCATCTGTTTCCGTAGGTCACAGTACGAGACTTTGGGACACACAGCAAAGATTCTGACTCCGACCGCAGTGATCGTGATGTTACTTATGTTACCTGTGTCACGTCAGACGACGAGATAGAATGTGAAAGATCGAAATTCTCGGCAGATTGCGGCCAAACATATCTACTGTACTTTGTTGACTACATAATTCAACATTACTTACTGGCAACGTCCACTACAAAAATGTAAAAATGGCTTAGTTTTTGGTTGTATATGGCGCATGGATGCTCATAATCCATTCAGCTATGTTCAGTATTGACCTGATGAAGCCGCTCTAAGGATAACATTCGAATACCCCAAAAGTCAATCACCAAGAACTAAAAGTGCCATTTTAGATCCCCTAATGCATCAACGTACGTGTGTTGATGTACCAAAACAACATATAAGACCAGTAAATCAGTTCATTGCTCCGATTTGCCTACATGTAGAGAGGGAGATACGAAGAAAATTACAGGGACTCTCGATCTGAAAAGCGTGTTAGAGAATGACTGGAAGTTCGAAAACGTTCATAGATTCTAGAGCTTATAGGGGGAATACATTGTACACAATGTCCTATTTTTGCTCGATTCATAAACACTTTTGATCGCCAAGCGCTTGGATACATGCACAGCAAAACTTTGGGAATGAATGAGTAAGGCTTATACTAATCACGAGACAATTAAGAAGCCAACAACGAGACTTTAGCTTGATCAAGACACAATTGGTTTTAAGGTTTGCTGTTAAAACGCGGGTCTCGTCCATTCAGCAAATGTTCCGACAGCGAGGCCGTGAAACGCCCATCAACACCAACGGAGGGTAAAAAAGAGACCGTTCTCTATCCACGTAAATAGGAATCGGAAATCGCCAGTGCTATCTTGTCCACTGCTTTCGTCATAGACGCAATCCGCAGAGATCATACGTGATTATATGCTGTACATTGTTCCGGAAGATCAGTACCTACTGGACAAAAGTGCAGGATGGAGAATACATCTAAATCATATTGGAATATATGATGTTTTCGAGTTGAGGACGTGTCATTATTTCGATTTAATTTACATGGCGGGCGTCAAACATAAAGCAGAAGACGTTTACCCTTCCTGAATTCCAATAATTATGTAGGATAAATCATTATTTGTACCTTTCTCCTTTAGGTTCCGTTGAAAATGTCCATAACAGGGCCCGTATTTATGAAACGGTTCTCATGCACCAAGGTACATGGTTTTGTCGCTGGGCGTCCATGGAAAAAAACCACATCTTTGTATTTTATTTTAACATGAAATTCGAAGATAAAAACCATATGTTATATTAAAAATGAAGTGAAATTCACCAGAAAGTTACTATTATCGAGGAAATAAAAACAATATATTCAGATTTCCAAAGGAGAAAAATCTGAATAAAAATCATGAATTATGATAATGCCATTGAAGTCACAGTCTTGCGCCTTGTTAAACTGTTCCGAAGATTTTAACCTCAAAACATCCCCGGATAAGTTAATTGTTTTAAGGACTCTTGAAAACGTAAAGAAAAACTTTTTTTTTTCAGTTGAAAAGTTCAATCATATTCATAAAGTTAATATGTAAATAAGAAATGATGAATACAACCGGTGGCAATATTGTTTCGAGAAAATTTCAGTTGGCAAACAGTTTTTAGGTTCAACATCAGCCAAAGTACAGGCATACAAATCATTAGTTCGACCATCACTTGATTATGCCTGTACAGTATGGGACCTTCACACCCAAACAAATATTGACAAGTTGGAAATGGCCCAGCGAAGGGCAGCGCGCTATGTGCTCAATAAGCACAGGTACAACCATCGCATCTCCAGTGTGTCAGAAATGTTGGACCACCTAAAGCTGCGCCCTCTAGCAGATAGACGTAGAGACGCTCGTCTGACCATGCTTCATAACATTGTAAGCCAGAAAGTCGCTATCGTAAAATCAGACAGATTAATCCCTACAGTTAGAAAACCCCGAACAAACCCCCAGTTTTCGTATCAAATTCCCCATTCAAAAACCCAGACCAGAAAGGCATCATTCTTCCCTCGAACTATACCCGAGTGGAATAAACTCCCACCTGACATTATTTCGAGCCCCACAACGGAATTATTCAAATCAGCCCTCACCGTCACTTTTCAAACGCAAATTAGACCATCTCGTATCTTTTAAAAACAATCTCTTTCCATGTTTCACTCCTCGTCTGACATTTAATCTTCAAATTGTTGAAGTTGGTCAATACCATTTAGAAGTAGAAGTAGAAGCAATGTAAAAATAGTTCTATGTGTCTGTCTTTTGCAATAGTAGTCTTACCAGAATATTTTCATACTTTTTAAAGCGTTCTTTCGTTAGGATATTTTTATATGATGAATATGAAATAAGAAACTATCAATAATAATTTATTGATTTTATTTATATGTGTCATACATATGCATAGTTATAATTTCAATGTTATGTGCATAGATGAACGATCCATTTCATTTCTGAACATATTTATTACATTTGTTATAAAAAGCCTTACATGATTCCCATGAGTAGACAAGATACATCTTACTGGCCATTATAGTAACAATATATATTTATGTATGTAGCGAAATATGGTTGAAAAAGGTTTATGTTAACACTTATGTTGCCTATTTGAGTGCGCTATTGTCTGATTGATAATAGATACATTATAAAAATCAATGCTACTTAGATTTGGAGCGGTTTGTTTGACCGACCATTAATGTCACAATAATCATGCGTTACACCACTACGTATTCATAGCCGCTCCAAAGTTTGAAGAACAATTATATTTTGAAGATTAATACATACAATGTATTTGCGGTTGATCACATCTAATTGCGCGTAATTCATAGACAAGGTATTGGTGTGTTCTGCAGGAAGGCAGGTTCTGTGGTATTTCTGTGGTGTACTGGCACATGTAAACAGCTACTCATAGACATAGCAGAATGACGCCATACGTTACAGAGTTTAAATCCTCCCTAAATAATGCCAATGTCACATGTCAAAATAACACCTTACTCTGTGATGCCGCAAAACCAATTCTGTTAATGATGAAGATATTCGGTGTTTATTTTTATGAACCAGGAAGAGTTGACCTTCCATACAATGGCGAGGAAAGAGTTTCGAAACGCAAACCAAAGATAGATTACGTCAAGTGGTATTGTGTTTGTCTTACAGTGCTTTCAGGACTTAACGTTGTAAGATACATTCCTTCGTTCTGGGTCGGTGTAGACTTCGTCCCCAACTTGACTGTATCAAGAATCGTCATGATTTCCTGGATCATTCAATGCTTTCTAAACCGACTTTTACTTCTTCGTGCGTGCTGGTTACGTAGTCATCTTACCGAATATTTCAAAATTTTCGACAAGGTGATGATGGACACCTGTTGTATGAACATCAAACCTTGCAGTAACAAGTCCAGGAAGTACTCAATCTTCTTCGTCATTGTGACCTGGCTTATCATCGTACTGAATGTTGGCGCCAGTATATATCACGTGATTACCCACGCTGACCCAGGATATCTGGTAACTCTCTGTAATCCGTTTCCAGGTAAAAGTGTAGCCGTTCAAATCTTCTTTGTTGTTTTTCATGGCATTGAATTGGGAGCGTGGGTTTCTCCTGTCACTTTTCAAGTTGCACTGTATAAAATTCTAAGTGATCAATTTTCAAGTGTTTCAAATGTGCTGTGTAAAATGACAAAAGACGAAGGAAGAAACGTTTGGCAGAAGATGAAGGATATCCGACTGAAGCACCTGCAGCTGTGCAAAGCCATGGATATTCTGGAACAGGACACCAAATACTTGATCGCAGGAAATTACGTCACCAATATATTCCTGATTTGTTTCATCGTTTATCAAATGGTAGCCTCGAATTCGGCAATATCTGTTCTCGGTTACATCACGTTTAGCACATGGCTTGTCATGAATTTCAGCATTATGGCTTCAGTAGCAATCACGGCGGCACAGGTCAATGAAGAGGTAAGATATCGCAATTGACATCCAGTATAGCATTGCCTTAAAGTTAGACTCCATTTGCTCAATGGTTGGTTAACTTTATCCATTGATAAATGAGTTAAAAAGGGTGTCAATAAGAAAAAGGTCTTTCTAAGCAAAATGAATCATATCACATCAGACACATCACTCACACCTGAAAATATAGAATTATATGTGCGTTACACGTGCATTACATGTGATATTACCATGATAACATTTGGTCAAAGGTTTACCATAATATTGAACTCATAATAATGTACAAGGTAGACTGATCTTTATGTTGTATTTGCAATCGAGTGTTTCATAGATATAATAATTATTTGTGAGTTTTTCCAGGCACATTCCCCACTCCAGTACATATTTGACGTGGAGACGAACGAGATATCTCGCAGTGAAGCATTACAGGTAACAAGTAGCAGTAGAAACACGCCATAAAGTATAACAGGTAATACATAACACACCATAAAGTAATACAAGTAATACATAGCAGTAGAAACACACCATAAAGTATAAGAGGTAATACATAACACACCATAAAGTAATACAGGCAATACATAGCAGTAGAAACACACCATAAAGTATTAGAGGTAATAAATAACACACCATAAAGTATTACAGGTAATACGGAGCAGTAGAAACACGCCATAAAGTATTAGAGGTAATACATAACACACCATAAAGTATTACAGGAAACACGTAGCAGTGAAAACAACCCCTTAAAGTATTACAGGAAACACGTAACAGTGGAAACACGCCATAAATTATTACAGGTAATAAGTAGCAGAAGAAACACGCCATAAAGTATTAGTGGTAATACATAACACACCATAAAGTATTACAGGCAATACGTAGCTGTAGAAACACGCCATCAGGCATTACAGGTTATACATAACACACCATGAAGTAATACAGGTGATACGTAGCAGTAGAAACACGCCATAAAGTATTAGAGGTAATACATAACACACCATAAAGTATTACAGGTAATACGTAGCTGTAGAAACACGCCATCAGGCATTACAGGTCATACATAACACACCATGAAGTAATACAGGTAATACGTAGCAGTAGAAACACGCCATAAAGTATTAGAGGTAATACATAACACACCATAAAGTAATACAGGTAATACCTAGCAGTAGAAACACGCCATAAAGTATTACAGGTCATACATAACACACTATAAAGTATTACAGGTAATACGTAACAGTAGAAACACGCCATAAAGTATTAGAGTTAATACATAACACACCATAAAGTAATACAGGTCACACGTAGCAGTCGAAACACGCCATAAAGTATCACAGGTAATACAAACCACACCATAAAGTAATACAGGTAATCCGTAGCAGTAGAAACACGCCATAAAGTATTAGAGGTAACACATAACACACCATAAAGTAATACAGGTAATACGTAGCATTAGAAACACGCCATAAAGTAATACAGGTAATACGTAGCAGTAGAAACACGCCATAAAGTATTACAGAAATACATAACACACCATAAAGTAACACAGGTATTACGTAGCAGTAGAAGCACGCCATAAAATATTAGAGGTATTACAAACCACACCATAAAGTAATACAGGTAATACGTAGCAGTAGAAACACGCCATAAAATATTAGAGGTATTACAAACCACACCATAAAGTAATACAGGTAATACGTAGCATTAGAAACACGCCATAAAGTAATACAGGTAATACGTAGCAGTAGAAACACGCCATAAAGTATTACAGAAATACATAACACACCATAAAGTAACACAGGTATTACGTAGCAGTAGAAACACGCCATAAAATATTAGAGGTATTACAAACCACACCATAAAGTAATACAGGTAATACGTAGCAGTAGAAACACGCCCTGAAGTATTACAGGTAATACATAACACGCCATAAAGTAATACAGGTAACACGTAGCAGTAGAAACACGCCATAAAGTATTAGAGGTAACACATAACACACCATAAAGTAATACAGGTAACACGTAGCAGTGGAACCACGCCATAAAGTATTAGAGGTAATACATAACACACCATGAAGTAATACAGGTAACACGTAGCAGTAGAAACACGCCATAAAGTATTACAGAAATACATAACACACCATAAAGTAACACAGGTAATACGTAGCAGTAGAAACACGCCATAAAGCATTACAGGTGATACGTAGCAGAAGCAACACGCCATAAAACATTACAGGTAATACATAACACACCATAAAGTAATACAGTTAATACGTAGCAGTAGAAACACGCCATAAAGCATTACAGGTAATACGTAGCAAAAGCAACACGCCATAAAACATTACAGGTAATACGTAGCAGTAGAAACACGCCCTGAAGTATTACAGGTAATACATAACACACCATAAAGTAATACAGGTAATACGTAGCAGTAGAAACACGCCATAAAGTATTACAGGTAATACATAACACACCATAAAGTAATACAGGTAATACGTAGCAGTAGAAACACGCCATAAAGTATTAGAGGTAATACATAACACACCATAAAGTAATACAGGTAATACGTAGCAGTAGAAACACTCCATAAATCATTACAGGTAATACGTAGCAGTAGAAACACGCCATAAAACATTACAGATGATACGTAGTAGTAGGAACACGTCAGAAAGTATTACAGGTAATGCGTAGACATTACTCTAATATATGGTTGCGCTAATTGAAGTTTCTCTATGTACTGTATTGCATTTATTGTGAGTGCGTCAATTCATCAATGAACTAATCTGTTAAAATTCAATAATGCGCTAAATTATGCTCTCTAAAATAAGGACTTTTACAGTCATAAGGAACGTATTACTGGGGAATATTATATATCATGTACTTAATCGATGACAAGTTGATTTTTCATTCAAAACAACACCTTTTTTTAAACATTGTTTTAATCAAAGAACGATATAGTCTTGATCTAAATACTCTTGTCGAATTTCTAATCATCTCAGATATTTGGCGGGGATGAGAACGGTTAATGAGGTCTAGTTTTTTGTTATGATAACTCCTTATCTGTTGTTTCCGATTGCGCTCTTGTGAATTGATGCTGTTGTATGTTTTCGTTTTTATTTGCCTTTAAACATTATATTGGATAACATAAGACTCTTGCACTTATAAGGAACGTGATACTGAGGAATATTATATTTCATGTACTTAGTCGACGACAAGTTAGTGGAATATCCCTATCTTACACCATTGGACATGAAAGAGTATTTTTCTCTCATTCCAGTCACCAGAATAAGCCCAGAAACCATGAAAATGCGTTTGGACTGGCCACCATTTTGAAAATATAAATTTTTCCCCGAGCCTTTTAGACGATAACGAATCAGTCAGACAGATTAAGCATATCCCATAGTTGCAAACAATGTTTGCGCTGAAAAATCAATCACATCTTTCTAACGACGTGCACGGTAAATATATTGTAAAAGGTTTTAATTTCATCACGTCGCCTTTTCCGCATTGCGGCATCGGAGTGTTCCAAAATCGTGACGTCATTGTTGATCCATTGTGACGTCACGTCACGTGAAATGGGGTGTATGATAGAAATTTCTTTCACCCTTTTCTTACCCTGAACAGATCTATCTTACACACAGGGAAATGAGAGAAAAGCTATACTAATACAAACCGATCTATTTTATTCCAGTTACAGCTGTTTCTGTCTAAGCTTAACGGACCCGCTATAGGGTTTACAGTAATGGGACTTGTCACCATAACTAAAGAATTCATCCTTACAGTGAGTAAAGTTCTGTATTCTGCTTTTTTTGTGAACCTTTAACATTCTTTTAAAGGTATGTTATTTGTTGTGATTTTGTATACCACATACAACATATAAGTAATAATTGTAATGACGTACTTCTGTTTAAATTAGCACGTTTTCAGGAGCAAACCAACATATATGCAAAAGAGTTAATAGGACTAGAGCCAAACGTTTTATCGTGAACATCTATCAAAAAGTTTGTCAACCTGCGTCAGAATCATATAAAATTTGCATATGTTATATTTCAAACCAACATCTAACAAAAAAAAACAATCATATTTTCTTGCTCTAAGCTCGCGTTTCCAGTTGTTTTTTGTTGTATTTCTTCAAAACTGTCCTTGTTTTAAGCTTGTGTTTCTATTTGTTACAGTTGGTGGGACTGATACTGACGTATTTCTTTTTGCTGCTTCAGTTCAACATCTGAAATATCAAACCTACGTACAATGATACATGTGTTTATACAACTAAGTAGAGTAAACCTACATCTAAAACTATACCTAAACGTCAAACACATGATCTCCGGAAACATGAGTGTTTGCTAAACAGCATGTGGCAGTCGTCGTCATAACAACAAGACACACACTTATCTAATGCCATGTCAACTGTACTAGCATTCGATAACAAGATAAACATTACACAATATACAATTAAACCTTGTCTAACCTCGTAATATCGATTT